AATCTAAAGCTTTCAGGGGTTTTTGTTACTGCTGTGTTTAGGGTTTTAATTTCAATGCATAGCAACAGCACAGCTGGGCAAAAGTGGAGATAGATTCGGTTAATTTATTTTATTTAGCTCTGATTTTTAGAAATCTATGTTGTGATGCTGGTTTCAAGTAGTGTTTCAGACAAAGATGGTGGATGCAGAGATTACTACTGCAAGAGAGTAGTGATCCTCCTCGAGGAAATCCATGGTTTCCTGCCTCCTTCCTTCCTTCTTCATGGATCCACACAAGTAGCAATTAATTCCTGAGGACTCCTTCAGTGATATATCTTTGATAAGATAGATAGTTAAGTGGCTATATCAAAAACCAATTTTGCCCTCGCTATCAGTCTGACATCACTCATTTGTTCCTATAGACTCTGAAACAGGAAAAGTGAAAGGGATGATCACAATTTCCCTCTTCAGGCACGTTGTCCGTTTCATATGTAAGCTCCAGAATTAAATTAGTTATGAAGCTGTGTTGGTTCAAAGGATATGACATTTAATTTGGCAGCTAGGTAGCGCTTTTCATAAACCTAAAACATGAAAGCCCGGCTAATAACTGTGACAAACGTAAAGGGCTGAAATTTTAGTCTACTGGTGTTTTAAGTAGTTGTGGTGGCATTTTTTAATTTTGTAAGGTGCATTTTTAAGAGTGTAGGAAGTCGAATTTCTGTGGCTCTGCCTTCATTTCTAATCTCTTTGTGAATGAAAAGCTATATACAGGCACAAATCCAGCAGCTTAATTCTCCATCTGATTAGAGCAATGTTACCAATCCGATAGGTTGAAAACAGCCAAGATCCATGCAATGGCTTAGCCTCCTGGGAGGCAGAGTAATAACAATCAAATGAAGACATATTAAAATGTAATATTACTTCCTCTCCATGGGGACTGTATAAGAATCATAGCCAGGAACTATTCTTGTCAGCTGATTCTGTTTCGCTTGCTGATTCCCTACCTCGGCATTTATGACTAATGCATTTCATACAATAAACAGAGCTTGTGAAGTTCTAAAAGCAAATGAATGTAAAAGACCATGCATTGATTTACATGATTTCCATATATGTATGTACGTATGCATATATATATATTATTTTTTAAACAAGGGAAGACAGAACTGGCATTATATGCTTTGGTCTGAATAATTTCTTAACCTCTTATTGTGAGGCGATATCTGAACTGAAAATGTACATTAACTTCTCCAAAATAAGAATACAGCAGCAGACTGTCACCCCCTGATTTTGTAAGAAATCAGTTTTTCTGAAAGTTGAAAACCCAACCTTAATTTCCTTATAAAACGAGTCTGCTGTTGACTTCAAGAAATACAGACACCCACTATTAACACAGGGCTCAAACATTGTTTTTAACTTGCTGCTGAAATATGTATTGCTCATAATTTATTCTTATTTTGTCGAGAAATGTTAAAATTAACACAGATTCTATAGCCATTCCATGTGTTTGTTTATAAATATGGATGAAGCGTGGAGTGAATAATTTAGTGTGTATATTTGACTGCATTTAATAGAAGTTTTGCCATTGACTCCAGTGGAACAGCTCTCAGAAAATCAGAGGTACCTTTCCAACAAAAGATTAAAAAACGTTTTATTAGCTGATTAGCACCATCATACTTTCTCACAGTTTACTATATGTTGCCTGTATTACTATAAAGTGTGTGATGTTGGAACATGTAATACTCATGAACATCTTTGTATTAATCATTGATTATGTTTGGTAGTGTTAATATTTAAGTAGCATCTAAGAAAAGAGTCATATATTAGTAAATGCTTCTATCATAGAATCATAGAATGCTTAGGGTTGGAAGGGACCTCTAGAGATCATCTAGTCCAACCCCCATACTATATCCACATTCAGATCCTAAAATAAAAAAGAAAAAGATTTCTTTTTAGAGGTGGGGAATGGAAAGTTTTTCTTTTTAGAGTTGGGGAATGGAAACTCTAAAATTTATTCACGTAAACGCACCTGAGAGCAGCATTTCCCTTTAGGCATGATAAATTAGTGTTATGTTTCTGCATTTATACCCTAAACCCTAGCCATATCCTGAACAGATATGGTTAGTTATTTTTTAATATCATATCAATGTAAGCAGAACTCCAGGTACAGGGTTACTTTCCCGCAGAAGTGTGAGTGTAATGGAGGAGCTTGGATCATAGTGGGTATAATTTTCACTTGGAGATCAATATAGAAAGACAGCTGCAAGTGTTTGAGGTATATTTTATACTTGCTGCCTTGCTGACTTACGCACACTAAATTGTCAAGGAGTATTAGCAGCATAAAACTGTTTTCTCTGCTGTCCCAGATTACTTCTCTCTCTCTCCGTGCAGCTTTTTGAAAACTATGTGTTTAAAACTACCCACTTTCTTCCTGGTACACTAGGGATATGTGAGGTTACATTTTGATAGTCTTAATGAATTTTGAAAAATAATTTCCTCTAGTGGCCTTGGGTAATCGTCGGTTTAATTACAGGGAGAAGCCGAGATTGAAACTTTGCTTTGTCACTGAAACTCTCCTCTTTGAAAATTCTCCATTCCTCAGGATGTAGCGCGCTCCACTCTGAGCTATAACACAGGCTTTCAGAAAACCCCTTGAAGAACTGGGGAAAAGTGAATACTTCTGCAAATTCATTCATCTAACATCAAAGCCATGGGAGCATTCTTTTAGCAAGCGAGGCAGATTGAGCTCTTGTAGGCACACAACCAAAGTCATTGTACATGTGGGCCTTCATTTGCAGACTGTATTTGAAGTAATTTTGCATTCTTTTGGCCATCTAACTTTCTTATTCTCTGCTGAGGTCAGACTGCATCTTATTGTGCTCTCCCGCACTGCAGGTTAAATGGATAGGCTTTTAAAGAATAAAAAGGCATTGATGTTCAGAGGAATCAGCACTCGATTCAATTAAAATCAAGTAGAAGGTGTTTAAAGAGATGTGAACCCCCATAGCCGAGATTAAAAAACAAAGAATAACAACAAAGCAAGACAAAGTCAGTGTTTATTAGTTGCGCTTTCATCTGATGCTCAGCTTTGGTATTGCTATTTAATGCTTCTTTTTTCCCCCGTCCTTGTGCTGGTACATTGGCAAATAGGTCATAAAAAACACTTTCAGCAAAGACACATTTGATTTATGTCCAGAACTGGTTCTTAGTATTGATTTTTTTTTCCCTCTGGAAAAAAACAAAAGAAAACAAAACTATACGTCTCCATTATTTTCTGAGCCTGGCAATGCAGTGGCGCATTTCAGATCTGCTTTTATCTTAAATTACTCATTTTGCTTTTTTTTTATATATTTTTAAAAGTTGGGGTTTTTTTAAGTTTGAAAAAAAAAAGAAAGAAGTTGTTTCTGGTCCTTCCATCCTCATGTTTCTCCAGTGGGGAGGGATACAAGAGGAGGAGCTGGGGGGGACCCAGTATAAGGAGAAAAAGCACTTGTAGGGGAAGAAGGCGCAATTGGGGAAGTTTGTGTGGTGGCTGTAATTTGAGGTAGTCACAAAAGAGGCAGGAGGGGAACAAAAACAAGCAGCAGATCAAAGGCTAGGAAGCGAGCGTCAGCGGTATGGGGCTTATATCTTTACAGCTAGAGAGAAGATTAGAGCAAGAAAAATACTGCCATGGGGCTAGGAAGACATTGTGAAGGAAAAAGGAAATATACAGCGCCCGCATTTGAAAGAAAATTCCCGAGGAAGGCGAGAGAGAGAAGGAAGAATTAAAAACAAAAATCTGAGCAGTGTGAGGCCCTTGTTGAGTTAGATCTCTAGCTGAAAGGAGAGAGGAAAGTGCTGGTTAAGCACTTCATCAGTGCTGGGGCAAGCTCTCTATCTCTCTTCATTTTCCTTTTTTTCCCCATTTGCTTTGTTTTTCGTTGGTGGCCTGGAAGGGGTGCGCGCTGGCCCTGCTGGTGTGCGAGCCTGGGCATGGGGCGAGCGGGGCCGAGGCGAAATGGAGCCGGCGGCCACACGCGATCCATGGGGGCAACAGTGGCACCGGAGCCGGGCCTCGTCCTTACGCTCTCACCAGGCCCCGTAGCACAACCAATGTGGGAAAAAAGTAATAAAAGCAAAGCTGTGTTCCCTAAAGAAAGGTGGAGCAAAGTGACCACGTCGCCACCACATGCACCTAACTGAGGTGCCCGGCGTGGTTTTCCCAGGAGCAGGTTGGGTTGGGAGCCCGCAGCCGGCTCCGCGCTGCCGCGGCCTGGAGCGCAGGGCCCGGCGCGGGGGGACTCCGTGGTTCGGCCATCGCGGGGAGCCGTGCCCTGCACAGAGCCCTCCCTGCGGCGGCAGCTCGCCGTGGGTGGCATGGGGCTGTGCCTAGGGGAGCGCCCGCGCCGTAAGCGCGGGGGAGAGCGCCCGGCTGCGCGCGTGAGCCCGGAGGTTTCTGTGGGAATAGAGCGTATCGCCCGCCCGCCCCCGCCAGTGCTCCTGAATGCTGAGAAAAGTGAGATTATACTTTAAAATATTAAATGGTTTTCCAATCAGCGTAGAATCTCAGCTTTCACCTGGGTCTTTTGTATGTGTTCGCTTCTTCCAGCAGGAGATTTGTAATAGAGGAAGCAGGTGGAACGTGGTGATTATAAAGATATGGCTGAATTTTCAGTGCTTTGCTCCTTTGAGCCTGCCAGGGCTTCCTTTTCAGCTGACTCCATCGCCTTTTAGGAGGGTGCTGTGTTTTTGTCCCAGGCAGTCAGCCAGTCAAATGTGCATAGAATGAAAAAGTTGCTGGGTAAATTTGAGACCTTGATAACACATTTCTCCATTTGTATATATTGTACGCCTTACCAGAGTATTCATTCCTTTGGCTTTCAACATTTCACATCTTTCCATAGGTCAACCTAAGCTACAAGAACAGATCTGGGTAGATTAAAAGAGTTTATGCTTTTAGACACTCATGTTCACATCACTTTGCCTGTTGATTTCCTGATTTTTATTTTATTTTATTTTGTTTTTATTTTTTTTTTAATCAGCAACATCAAATGGGTCTTTGGAGGGCCTGGATAACCAGGAGGGAGGGGTGTGCCAGACAAAAACCATGAAGATCCTCATGAAAGTTGGACAAGGTAAAGACCGTCTGCTGTTTCATGAAATCGCTTTGATCAGTCTCAGTATCCTTTTAGTTTTCAGGCTTCTTTTAATAGTGTAGAACAGAGAGCCAACGGAGCCTAGAGTGGTCATTCCTCCCTGATAGTCTGAAAGCGAAGCCTATTTTCTGTTCCTCAGCTACTGACAGATTTCTACAGGAGGAGGTTTAGTGTAATAAGATCTCTTCATTGGAGAGCTCCCTAGAAGGAAAGGTCACCTGGGAGTAACCTGTTTCAGTCATTTTTATTTTTATTTTAAAGACAAAAGCAGCAACTTCACTATTCAAAATTATTTAACATAAATGAAAGGAGGGAAGCTAATATTTCTATAGTTTGCTTGTTATAAATTCTATTTACAGAGACGTTTTTGTTCATTGTCCCTTTTCATATATAGATAACCTATTGTGCAGAAAGAAAGAATTATTCTTCTAAGTAGAAGTTGGTTTAGTAGTCAATCAACTTCCTCAGTTAAACTGAAATGTCATCTGCAAAGCTTTTCTTGCCAATTACAGGAATCCCTATAGTTTCTGCAGATGGCCTCACAATTTAAACCTCTGAAATAACTAATATAACCACTTTGCTTTAAAAGGAAAATTGCATTCTTATATCTCATAGTTCTTTGCGTAAAGCTTCTTCTGTTCAAAGCTATTCATGTCTCATGATAAATATAACCAGCTTATAAAGCTTAATATCATCAAACCTCTAAGTTGCAGTGAATCATTTTTCTTTCTCACAGATCCCAATTCTGCTGGGTTACCTCGGAATACGGATCCAACGAAACGCCCAGAGCAGGAAGCTGGTACCAATGGGAAAAGTTCCACGACGAGTCCATTTGTGAAGGATCATTCAGGTAGATACCGTGGCATTTTGGCCTGGGAAGTAGCTCTGTCAGATTTCCTCCTTTGTTCCCAAGCACATTTTTATTTTTGCACTTAAATGTCATGTTTTCATACCGAGTTGAAGCAAAAATGACTTTAGAAGCTCGAGTGGGTAGTATCTAGGAGTTTTAAGTTTTGGCCACAGTTACTTTTCCCCCTCTTTCGCTTTGCAGTTGAAGTTAATTACATCTTATGAGAATATCACTCATTTACAGGAAAGTTTTTGGATAGGACATTCTTTAAGCAGCTTTACGATGGTAAGTGCTGCCTTACATTTAGTGCTCTGGCATCTGGCAGATGAAAGACTCTTTCCGTCTTTCTCTTCCCGTATGATACATTATCAAGTGGTTCTCGACAGCCGTTTATAAAGTTTATTTCAAGGCACCTGTAATGAATGCCCTGATCTTTTAACTGTTCACATAAAGACTACACATGAATGGCAGATCCTTCAATAAATTAAAATAGTTTTTCTTATAAATTAGTTTAGCAAGATAATCTGATGGTTCCAAACAAATGTTTTCAAGGTGAATTTTGCACATTAGATTAAAAAAAAAAAGCCTTTAAGACACGAAGTCTCTGGAAGAAAATTCTATGAATTGGAATGTTACAAAGGAAAAATTGCTGGGAGTTGATTTTGAGGTTCTCAAAAGTGACTTCAAGTTTTTCTTGCCATCATTTGTTACCAGGCTAATGAAACTTTGATGTGGCAGTTGTTGCGTGGGCTTCAGCAATTTTGTACTAAGGTTACAGTTGGAAAAGTTCATAGTTATGTGAACTTAGCATCTGTAGCATTACTCCTCTGGAAGTGAGCATCTAGAGAGGGGAGAGTTATTTCAAACTTTAAAGGGAGAAAGTGTCAAGTGAACATTCATTTAATTCATGTGGCAAACTGATAATGTGAGTGACGGAGTCAAATACTGAGCGGGCTGTTGCACATGTGAGCCTCTCCCAAATTCCATGTATGTGTTTTTGGTTTCCTTTTTTATTTATTATTTTTAATAAATGTAAGTTAGGCAATGCATGCAGATAGAATATATATCATAACCATTTCCCCAGTCTCCCACACTGCCGCAAGCGCCTTTGTTTCATTTGCAAGCAAGAAGAGTCTGCACAAATAGGCACCGAGTGCTGTTTAACTTAAATCGATATCTAAAACATAAAATAGCGGAACTGCGTGACACTAACCAGTGCCAGCTGTCCTGCAGACTGTCATTTCGCTGCGTTGCTGCCCCCTTGCCGTCCCGCCTCACCCGTCCTGAGCTGGCTGGCATCTGTTCAAAGATGCGGTGTGCGTCAAAGGCTGCCCTGTCAGTGCCAGTCCCTGCTGCTGATGGATGATGATGTATGAAACAGTGTGGTTTGGGAGCAGCATAAAAGTGAGACCAGCAGACACACAGTCTTGTTTAATATTGATTGCTGACTACAGCTGTTTGCATTTAGCTATCTAACAGGGTAATTGGTTTGTCAAAGTTTAGCTGTCAGTTAATTCTTCCAGTCTTGCTTACTCTACACATTTTTAAAAGTGTAAATTGGTTGCAGGATGGCAATAACTTTTATCTGTTGTATTTCCATTCTTTCTAGGATCTAGCGCAGATGGCAGTAAGGCTGGGCATTCCAGTATACTGGGTTCAGAGGTGGCCTTATTTGCAGGGATTGCGTCAGGGTGCATCATTTTCATCGTCATCATCATCACTTTGGTGGTTCTTTTATTGAAGTACCGGAGAAGACACAGGAAGCATTCCCCGCAGCACACTACAACTCTCTCACTTAGTACGTTAGCCACCCCAAAACGCAGTGGCAACAACAATGGTTCTGAGCCCAGTGACATTATCATTCCTCTAAGGACTGCAGACAGTGTCTTTTGCCCCCACTATGAAAAGGTCAGCGGCGACTATGGACATCCGGTGTATATAGTCCAAGAGATGCCTCCTCAGAGCCCAGCAAACATTTATTACAAGGTCTGAGAAACACAACACCAACTCTGTGGTACAGTTGAGTCATAGAGGAAACTTACTGGTCAAATGCTTTCTGTTGGGGTTTGTGATGATGCCTTGTGCGCTAGTATTGACTCAAGCACAGGGGAGAAAAGGCGACAGCTGTTTCTCCGAGAGCCAACTTGAGCTGGACAGCTTACCTAGTCTGTAGAATTCCTATCTTGGTGAATAAGTATTCACTAAAAGCTGGAAGACTTTAATGTAGAAGATACCCATTCTGATTGCTGTACTCTTGTTACATTCATCATCCTCAAAGCCATGTGCTGCAGGCATTCAGGCATGTACAAAAGCCAAGGGAAGATGGAGTGATCCATGGATGTTGATAGCTCTAGGCATCCTGGGAAGGTGCTCTAGGATATCAAGCTTGAAATGCAATCTTCTGACTTTTGTGTGTCTCTCTCGGTGCATACTGGATTTGTCACCCAGACCTTGGTGTCTAAGTAAGACTTTTAAAGTTCTCTTGCTTTTAGTCCGTCACTGTTCCATTTATTTCTGTTATCTGGGGCTCTGCCATCCTTCACGTAAGATTTCCTTTCACTCCACCTCCTGAATCACTAACGGAACATTAATGTCTGGAGATACGTGCTCCATCCATCTGCTACAGCAGCCTCAGTCGAATGGGTAATACATTTATAGAAATTGTGTTTGATAGTAGGGAGCCTTCCAGCCAAAAAGTTAGGCTGTCAACAAAGTCAGGAGCAGGACTGGGTGGTGGAGGGAAGGGCTGACTGCAGCAGCAGTTAATATTGCTGCCTCGAAAGTAGAAGCTGGGGAGAAGGAACCATTTAGGTAGCGCCGCACTTTGGCATGCTGAGTTTCAAGAGGCGAGTAGGAGACACAACCACATGCGCAGAGGATCAGGGCTGCACTTGAAGGCATTCGTGGTTATCAAATACCAATGTGCAGAAAAATAGCACCTTCGATACAGTAGAACAAAGGGGTATTGTTAGTAAATGAGCAAGCTTGGAGAGGACAAGACAGTAGTAGGCCACTGAGGATATATTAGGGCAGGGCTGTTGTGGTACTGGCAATAAAACATACAGCTTTGAAGCTGTAGCAAAAATGTAGTCTGCTTTGGATGACTTTTAAGCAGACTCAGCTGCTATACTGTCACATTATACTAAACACAGGGAGAGCATTTAAGAAAAGAGCAGAGAGCCAAATCTCACCCAGATGATTATAAGCCAATGGGTCAAACGAGCTATATTTCCATCACTGGAAAAGTTGTAAAAATACTTTCTCATCTCTAAAAATAAATCAGATTTTTTTTAAAAATTTTTTCTGACTGAGCCTTTTGACACTTTGGTTTATTGTAGTGCTGTCCCTGCACAGTGTGTGTAGGTACTGTAACTGACACAGCAGTTCATTGGTGCTCTGTTGCAAAGTTAAAGCACATATGGCAAACCTCTTGCAGTCCATAAGAATAAAATAAATTATGACACTGAGATGGAGAAGGAAGATATGTCTTATTTATAATAGGTGTATAGAACACAAGGGATATAAAACGAGAGTTTTTCTTTCTTTCTTTTTTTCTTTCTTTCTTTCTTTCTTACTTTTTTGCTTTGTTTTATTTTTTACTAATATATATTTTGAGATTGCACAAAATCTACACCAGAAGATGTGAAATTCATTTGCGGCAATTGAATAGTCTTAACTTGTCATCATTTTATATACACACAACACACATACACACGTACACATATGTATATGTTTATGCACATTATTTTTTTTTTAAAAAAAGAAAACTGCTTCTGGGAAAAAAAGAAAAAAGACAAAACAACCACTCCAAAGTCACAAGAGCGTACACAAAAAGACTTAAAGCACTATAAAGGCACCCCATATAACAGTAAAGGAGGAAATAAAAGGCCCAGAGTATCAGAGAATCAGATGTTACTGCATTGCATATTTAACAGTGACAAGGTGTTCCGGCATTTGTTTTCTGTGTTTCATTTTCCCTTGCCTTATGGGCTGAAGTGTTCTCTAGATTTCATCAAGATTCTTAGAGGGGGGTTTCAGGTTAAAGTTTTCTCTTTAGCGTGGTTATTCCCCTAAAGCCCCTACCCTGGGGAGAGAAAAAAAAAAATCCTACTTTTTATGTGCTATGCAAAATAGACATTTCTAACATAGTCATGTTACTATGGTAACACTTTGCTTTCTGATTTGGAAAGAAAATGTAGCAACAGCGTTTTGGGGTTCTCAGGCCTCTAGCAAGCACCTGCAAGCAAAAAAATAACGTAAAAACAAAACTGTCATAGAAATGATTACTCTCTCTGTTTCCTGAACCTGAAAATGATCTTGGGATGTTGGTCCAAAAGAGAGAAACAAAACAAAAAATCCCAACCGATGGTTCCGTGGAAGGTTACCATGGTGACTAACTACACCACATATGTAATTCTTTTCAACAACCCTTCCTTTCTGTGAATCCATCCATACAAGGTTCTCTTGTAAGTCATTAAGATTTTATTTGGGGGAGGGGGAGAAAGAGAAAATATGGGTTTACTGATTGTGATTTTTATTAAATCAAATCTACGCTTCATCAGTTGGCTACATTATACATTATGTACTAAACTGTGAAAAAAAAAATCAGATGAATTGCTGAAGAGCAACCTGCAACCAATTGAAAAAAAAATGTACTGTGCGTCTGTTTTGTGTCTGGTGCAGAATTATGACAATCTACCAACTGTTCCTTTATTTGACGTTGGTTCAGCTTTGAAAAGTTACTGTAAATGCCTTGCTTGTATGATCATCCCTAGTCACCCGACTCGGAATTTGCACCATCATGTCTAAGTGAAGATGCTGTAAATAGGTTCAGATTTACTGTATATGGATTTGGGGTGTTACAGTAGCCTTATTCGCCTTTTTAAATAATAAAAAATATACATGAAAACAAGACAAAAATGGCTTTTCTTAACCAGATTGTGTATATAGAGCAATGTTGGTTTTTTATAAAGTCTGAGCAAGATGTTTTGTATAAAATTTGAATTTTGCAATGTATTTAGCTACAGCTTGTTTAAAGGCAGTGTCATTCCCCTTTGCACTGTATTGAGGAAAAAAAATGGTATAAAAGGTTGCCAAATTGCCGCATATTTGTGCTGAAAGTGTGTACCATGAATATTTATTTAAGAATTTCTTTGTCCAGTTTGTAAGTAACACAGTATTATGCTTGAGTTATAAATAATTTCTTCTTTCTCTGTTTTTTTGTTTTGTTTTGTTTGTTTTTTTTCTGATTTTGTTCTGTTTTTAAACTAGCTGGTCATAATTTTGAAATCTGCTTTAGTTCCACATTGCAATTAGCTCCCAGAAAATGAAAATTATGAAGATCACATTCCACGTCTGTTTCAAACTGAATTTGTTCTTAAAAAAATAAAATATTTTTTTCCTATGGAAGTCTTGCCTTCTAAGTATTTTATTCCTTTTTTTTCCCCAAGCCATTCTTTTTCTTTTTTAAAAGATAAAGATAAATAAGAAGAATATCAAGCCTTCTTCCCTCCCTCTCTGCCTTCCTCTCCGCCTCCCTCCTTCCCCTGCCTCTTTCTAGACCCTGATTGCTGGTGGTTTCTAAAGAAATAGAGCGCATTATAGTATGCTGGCTTCTGTAAACTGACTCGTTTTCCAGGCTTTCTGTCTTGTACCTCGTCAGGTTGTAAAATCCACGTAGGGCTCTTACGCCCTTTGAGGTCAGTAGGCCTGTGGTGGCTGCAGTAGCCCAGCCAGCCAGCAGATGAGGCCCTGCAGGTCATGCCTGGAATTTTACAGAGATTTTACTGTAGGCAGAGCAAGAAAAACAAACAAACCTTTAGTGTTTGGGCCACTGTGGCTCTCCTTGCTGCTCCTGGGGAAAGGAAGTGGCCAGGCTGAGGTGGTGGGGTGGGGGACGGGAGATGGAAGAAGCTGTGAGAAAGAGGGAAAGTCTGGAAATGCCAAGAGGCCAAAATGCACCTGTGTGCTCTTTCTGTGCCCTGTCTGTCTATGCGTGTGATGTTCTCAAATCACGGACCTATTGGTAAAAGCCAAGTTAAGTTGGGGCCAACATGTACAGACAATACAAGCCTTAATACAAGATCTGTGGTTGTGCTGCTCTCTCATTATCTCTGGGATAACTGATACATCTAACAAATACTTTTTATTCTTAGCAAAACCCAGTCACCTTGGAAAGTGTTTTTCAGGCTGCTTGCAGGGCACAAACAGAATGCGCATCCATGGGGTAACAGGTGGCAAGGTCTAAAGAGGGGAAAGATGCATTTGTCACTAACAACTGATGCCAATTTGTCATAGAGTTCTTGTTACTCATAGTGATGGTCATGTAATTCCCATTTGTCTTCTTTTTAAATTTATTTTCTCTGAATAATCAGAGAAAAAATATCTGACAGTCAAAAGTAAATTGTGAGGCCCCGGATGCGTTGTGCTGCTACAAGTGTTCTGGACTTAAAGAAAGCCCTAGAGACCCTTGAGCTGCTGGACTAGCTCAGCAATAAGACTGGCAGAGCTAATGTTACAGGTCCCATGTACAAACTCTGTAATGGGATGATCTGAGGAGGAAAATCATGGA